GGTGTAAAGTCCTTAGAGCTTCTCAGATGAAAGATGCTACAGAAGTGAAAATCAGTAATTTATTTATTTAATAATATAATTAATAAATGTCTCTATTTAGTAATTGCTCAGACAAGACTGTGATTCAAGGACACAGCTCATAGAAAGGTGAAGCACATACCTGTGTTCCTTCAGGAGCAGTGCAATGAAGGAATTACGGTTTGGTTGTCCATGTTATAAACCACCACAGAGCTTGGGTTGCCTGTGATTGTGGGCCAGATTTTCAAAGGTATTTAGGTGCCTAAAAGTTCATAGATGTCTTTTGAGATTTTCAAAAACGTCTAAGCAGGTTAGCCACCTAACCTGCTTAGACACTTCAAAAATCCCAGTAGGTGCTCATTCGCATCTTTAGACACCTAAAGACCTTGAAAATCTGGCCTTGCCAGACTGATATTTAGATCAGTTCAAGCCCATGGTGCAATTCAGTATACACAAATGAACAGAAGGGATGGTCACTGGCTTCTATAACAGAGATCTCCAAGCCCGATTTGCTCTCATTGAAATCAACCGGAGTTTTGCCATTAACTTCAATGGGAGCATGATGGATCTATCATGAACAAAAGTGAAAATGTCAACTTTAAACATGAACCAGTTTCTAGGCTGAAATAATCATCTTATTCTAACTTCCTTAGTAGCGCCTAATTCTACTATAGGTGTCCAAAGTCACTGGGCCAGATTCTAGTCTCTCTGCTCTTTTATACCCAGATAACTTCATGGACTTCACATTACTCCTGGTGTGAGATCAGACACGCTAGACCAAATTCTGCTCTAAGTTACAACATTATATGCACAAAATAGTGACTCTGTATTTACAACAGTGTCACTAAGAGCAGAGTTTGGCCTATTGTTTCTATTCACATCCATAATGTAACAACATAGCGTACAATGAAGAGCCTGCTTGGTCTAGTAGCAGTGTTTTAGCAATGACAGAAAAGAGCATTAAGTTCTACCCCAAAGCTCCAGAAATTAATCATTTGGACTCTATCCAGGAATGAAAAATATATTTGCACATGGGATCATGGCACCTGCTTCTTAGTCTAGACAAAAGCATAAAATATGAAAAACAGGAAAACAAATGCCTTATCCTGAGAGATGCTGAGTATCTGCAACTCCCATTAATGTCAGTAGAGGCTGTGGGAGCTCAGCATCTCTGAGAATCAGACCCTAAAATGTGATGACATGCGTTTTTTTTCTACTTTTTTTCCAACATTTTATATATGACAAGGAAGGTGGTAGACATAAAACAAAGAACGCACCATGTGGAATTCAGATACAGAAATATAACTATACAGAGCTGAATTTGCAGCGGCCAGGCATGTAGAAGCTTGCTCTAAGAGACATCGTTAATCACGCACATGCAGGTTAGATGAAAGGAGAAGGCCTGAGGGAAAAGCACATGTGAGATCCACTCTGCTACACCAGTGCTTACGTTATTTCTTCACAGTTTCTCATGGCACAAAATCCCAGGAAGGAAAGGCATTATCTAAGGTGGCATAAGAGACTATAGCTAGGATACATTAAATGAGACTGAGAAAGGAAAACTGAGGCTGCATATCATATACAACTTCCTAACAGTGATGGAAGAGTCATAGTCAGTAGAATAAGTTCTCAAATGGAAAGTACACAAGAACACAATTCAAGAAAGGAGGCCAAAAAGGAAAAGGAAGTTCAATACTTGTGTCTTATTTTTAAATAGAGCTGCTTTTTTATTCCCAAGTACTCAAATATTATTGGCTCAACAGACATGAATGTTCAATATATATTACATTTCACTAGACAGGCAGCCTACAGAAAAAATTCTAGGATTCATATCTATCACTGTACTCACTGGAGATTACTTGGGCAGTTTTGGACACATTCAAAAATATAATTTATAAATAAATAACTGCCAAGCTGAAAGTTATGACTATGTTTCAAACACAGCAAGAAAATACTCTGGCCTCCAAACAAGTTAAAAACAACACAGTGAAGTGGCAGATTATATACCTGGAACAGGTCATTCACCAAGGCTCAAATTTTCAAAAATGATTTTAGGTACCCAAATAATTGGGCCTGATTTTCAGAGGAACTGAGCACTTACAGGTTCAGTTGACTTCACCTCAGAAAATTAGACCTAAAGTGATGCACACCAGGCACCGAAAAAATGAAGCTCACAGAATCAAGGGCCACTTTTGAAACTTTTGGCCTAAATCTGGTGGGAGGTTAAACTGCAGAATGTTACATATTTTTGGCCTTATTTTCTACTGTCTTACACCTTGTGTAATCATTACCACCTCTTCAGTGGGCATAAAACACTACCAAATCAAAATGGTAGCATTTTTACACCCACTTTGCAGAGCTGTCAAGGACTATACAAGATGAAAGATAGTAGAGAATCAGACCATCTGGGCTGGACTGTCTAGTCTGCTAAGGCCCCAGCAATGCACCCACTTTGTTCAATTAGAGTCGAGTTGGTCAGGACCTCTGAAAGTCAGACCCAAGGTATCTGAAGTTGAGTACTTGAAAAATGAGGCAAAAGTCTGGCCACCTTTGAAAAAATTAGGCTGAAGATTTTATTCTACACATTGCCTTCACTCACTGTTGCATACTCTCTCCCCTTTCCACCAGGATTGTTGATACTACATATAATATTCACAGTAGCAATTTATTAACTTGTGGCAGCACATCTACTAAATGCTCTTCCACAGTTGAGTTCCACAGTAACAACCAACTAATCTGATTTACTGACTCAGAGAAATATATTCCTCCTCAGTCTTCCCTTCTTCCTCCCCTGCCAAGTCTCCCACTCTTTCCCTTGCAACCCTCCTCCCCCCACCCTTCCTTTTATGGTCAGCAAAACCACAGCTAGCATTTCCTCATTTTATGAGTGGAGTCTAGAGCTGCTCTGCTTAATTTGTCCTCTCATATTTGTAGACCCACACTGCTAGCTGCTTTCCTAGTTGTTTACATGGCCACACCACTGAGGTTTGTTCATTTCAATATAAGTAACCTGAAATAACAGCTTCCATTGTGATTCAGATCTGGGAGTTTTGGGTTTTAAGTATATCCCCCTAAGGCAGATAATAGATCGCTACTATTTTTGCTTGTTTGTTAGTTCTAAAAGGGCAATTAGATGAGCTTTATAACATGGGCAGGTCAAAGGAAGCAATCTGATTGGCCATGGTCTCTACCTCTACAATTATGGGGGTAACAATCACAGATCAGTAAGCCGAAGAAAAATTAAATTTTAAAAAAATTAAACAGGGAAAAACATGAATGATTGTTCCTGCTTTTTGTTTTTTAAATTAAAATTTATCAGTGTTAAATGAATTTAGAAAAAAAACCAGGAGTCCCTAGGAGCACTATAATTCTATAACATCTAGTCTCTTGCTGAAATTAGCAGCTTTAATTTCAGTTTAAGCCTGAGACACAGTGTCTGCTGCGAGTCAAGCCTTTGAAATAGCTGTGGCTGATGTGTTTCTGAGCTAAACAGAGAAACCAGTGATTTGTGTCAAAAAAAAAAAAAAAATCTATTCTGCACATAGCCAAGTTCCAGCTTAATGAGGGGCCTTCCAACTTGGGAAAACTTGAAATATATTCAACTTTAAAAGAAATCCATTTCCGTTTCACAGGGTTTATATAACTTTTGTGATCATGTTTGCTAGTTACTACAATGTTTAAATCCAGATTTGGCTCTCTTGTGGCCCCATGTTCTCAGTTCTCAACAGACCTTGCTCTCTCATCTTCTCACTAGGAAGCTGGGATTGGGCAATTACCTGGATGACTACCTGTTCTGTTCATTCCCTCTGGGGCACCTAGCATTATCCTCTGTGGATGAAGACTGGATACTAGGCTAAATGGACCTTTGGTCTGATCCAGTATGGCAGTTCTTATGTTCACTCCCCACAAGCCCACCCTCCCTCACCCCCTCCACATTTTCCCATTTTTCACACAGACTTGCTCCTTCACTATCTTTCTGCAAGGCCTCTCTCCTTTGAGGACATTTTTTTTTTTTTTAATATCATCCCTTCAGGGATTTCCTCCGTTTGCCCCATGTTATCGTTCACCCAGAACAGAACCTACCTTCTTTAAGGCCAGGGTTCAAATCTAAGCCAGAAACCTGAGGCAATGGGCTTTTAAACTGATATAGAGTCCAAAGGCATATGAACCTGCACAGGAGCCCAGTATTAACAACAACAAATGTTTCAAAAGCATCCCCAAAAAAACAAAACAAAACTTGGTCTGTTTCTGTTTTCTGAGCCCTCGGGCTGTAGTCGCTTCACAGTTTCAAGATTTTTTTCTGCAGGAAGGAGGACAGAAAACACAGTTTGATGTGAACTAGAACAGATTCTCACTCAGTCTCCTGACCCTAGCAGCTGGGGCGGCCATAGAGACACCCATTCTGCAAAGCTCCCCAGGAAGGTGCTAGAGTCAGCAGCTGGGAGCCCCAAGGGCAGGGACTCAAAGCCACGCGCCCTGGGCCTGAGCCCCAACCCCGCGGCACACCCGTGCTCTGCCACTCACCCGGGCTGGGGCCCGCAAGAATACAGCAGCTTTGAGGCCGGGCTGAGGGATACAGACCTGAGCCCCCCAGCGGCATTCAGCCTGAGACTAGAACCAACGGCTTCAGGAGCCGCCTTCACGCCTCAGGCTTACAGTTATTATCGGCATAACAGCTCCCGTCCTGATTGGGCGGCGCAGTAGCCAATGAATGCGCTTGCCCCCCTGCCGGCGGCAAGGCGGGAGGGGCTCTTTGGGAGGAGGAGGCTGCCCGGGTAGTTCTGTTCCGCCAGGCCTACAAGTGGCGTTGTGACACGTGAGCCTAGAGCAGCGACTCTCCGCAAGCCGGATAGACCCTCCCCGTTCCCGCACTTCCGCTATCAGCGGAGGGGACCGCTCAATAATGCGCTTTGCGATTGGACAGTCTGTTCTTGCCACCCATTAGAGAGGCGCGATACAGAGCTTCACTCCGCCCCCCCGCGCCATCTTGCTGCGTGTGCGCTAGGGAGGGAGTGCTGAGTTGTGAGAGTGAATCTGAGCCGGCCCGGAGGATCCGTTCCCGCCATGCCGCACTACCAGACCTGGGAGGAGTTCACCCGTGCCGCCGAAAAGCTCTACCTCGCCGATCCCATGAAGGTACGGAGGGCGGGCGCAGAGCGCCTAGGGGGTGGTCCCGGTCCCCTTTAGAGACCGGCTTGTGCGGGCGATGCGCCTGCCTTGCGGGTCCTGGACGAGCGAGCGAGCTCCCCTAGAAGTGGCCGGAGGCTGGGCTGACTGGGAGCCCAGCGATTCCGGAGACACCGGTTCGGGTGACTGCGTGGGGCGCCTCCCCCAGCCAGCCACTTGCTGCGTTCCCGAGCAGAGCAGAGCCCGGGGTCTCCCAACAGAGTTGTCTGCCGCTGGGAAGAGCCTGACTCGCCTCAGGTGGCGTGACAGGAATAGCCCACCCCCGGGGCAGCCTGGCAACCGTGTAGTGTCCATGAGACGTGAATCTGCCCGGGACGCTGATATGCCACGAAGCCATCGATGCAGTCTGCTCTTTGGTCTTCATACTGGTTCTTCTGGTCTTACTTATTCCTCCAAACACACAAACTCTTAAAGCCCTAGATCTGGTGTGTCGGCCACCCTCCCATGAGGTGAGGCGGGATTGGTTCTTTCGATATTGGAGTCGCCGGTCTTGCTTCTGTTGCGCGCAAAGCTTCATAACAATGACTCGCCCCATCTCACTATCTGGAAGGTTTTTTTGTTTCATAATAGTCTTAATGCGCTTGTGTCATAACTATAAAGGGAAGGGTAACAGCTCTCTGTGTACAGAGACTCCAAATCCTTTTACCTGTAAAGGGTTAAGAGGCTCGGGTAACCTGGCTGACACCTGACCCGAAGGACCAATAAGGGGGCAAGATACTTTAAAATCTTGGGGGGGGAAAGGCTTTTGTGTGTGCTCTTTGTTTTAAGGGGTGGTTCACTCTTGGGACTGAGAGGGACCAGACATCAATCCAGGTTCTCCCCATCTTTCTAAACAAGTCTCTCCTATTTCAAACTTGTAAGTAAAAAGACAGGCAAGGCGTCTTAGATTTACTTTGTTTTCTCAACTTGTAAATGTACCTTTTTACCAGAGTGTTTATCTTTGTTTTGCTGTACTTTGAACCTAAGACAGAGGGGGGTCCTCTGAGCTCTTTAAGTTTGATTACCCTGTAAAGTTATTTTCCATACTGATTTTACAGAGATGATTTTTACCTTTTTCTTTAATTAAAAGCCTTCTTTTTTAAGAACCAGATTGATTTCTCCTTGTTTTAAGATCCAAGGGGGTTTGGATCTGTATTCACCAGGAGTTGGTGAAAGGAGGGTGGGAGGAAGGAGGGGGGATGGTTAATTTCTCCTTGTTTTAAGATCCAAGGGGGTTTGGATCTGTGTTCACCAGGGAATTGGTGAAAGGTTTCTCAAGGCTTCCCAGGGAGGGAATTCTTGTGATGGTGGCAGCGGACCAAAGCTAAGCTGGTAGATAAGCTTAGAAGTTTTCATGCAGGCCCCTACATTTGTACCCTAAGGTTCAAAGTGGGGATACAGCCTTGACAGCTTGTCTTAGGGCTGGTCTACACTTACCCCCCAAATCGAAGTAAGGTACGCAAATTCAGCTACGTGAATAACGTAGCTGAATTCGACATACCTTACTTCGACCTTACCGCGGTTCAGACGCGGTCCACACGCGGCAGGCAGGCTCCCCGTCGACTTCGCGGTACTCCTCTCGCTGAGCTGGAGTACCGCAGTCGACGGGGATCACTTCCTGGTTCGATTTATCGCGTCCAGACCAGACGCGATAAATCGAACTCGGAACTTCGATCCGCAGCCGTCGAACTAACCGGTAAGTGTAGACTAGCCCTTAGTTTTACTCCATTACTTCTAGTTATACTACCTTAGACTGAACACTGAGAAGGGAGAAATTATTTGTACTTTCAAATACTCCTGAATGATTATCATGAGCACCTTACACCCATATCCTTATGGGGCTGTTCATAGGCAGACCTCATCGACTAAAGTGGGGATCCATGTCGGCCCAATGGGCTGCCTATATGGAAAATATGGGCATTAATGATCACTCAGTCAAGCTGTATGTATTTAGCTCTTAGTCTTTCAATATTGTGACATATATCCTAATATTCAGAGAATTTTATCTTAAAGCAAAATCTAATTTTGTAACAAACTGTTAAATGAAATGGTAAAGAATTATTTATTAACTAAAACTTACTCTAATAAACCTTTTTATTGTAGCAACACATCATTTAATCCATCTGATGCCAAAATGGGTCATATAGCACGCTTGGCCCTCTTAAATGTTGTAGCTGTAGTCATATTTGATGTTTTGGTAACTGGTCTGATAGCTGTATTTGAACATAGCATGTTCAGGATCAGTGCCACACTATTTATGTGTTAAAGCTTTAAATACAGAATGTATGTATTGTTACTTTTGTTAGAAGCTTTGGTGAATTTCAATATGGTAGCTCCATATTGGGGGAGGGATAGCTCAGTGGTTTGAGCATTGGCCTGCTAAACCCAGGGTTGTGAGTTCAATCCTTGAGGGGGCCACTTAGGGATCGGGGGCAAAATCAGTACTTGGTCCTGCTAGTGAAGGCAGAGGGCTGGACTCAATGTCCCTTCCAGTTCTAGGAGATAGGATATCTCCATTAATTAATTTATTTATCTTTTGGCCCGTTTGTTCCTTCACAGTAATGCAGAGGCAACTTCTTCAGGAAAATGAAGTGACTTCAGGAAGGATTACTAAACTCAACAGTTTCCTAGTCAGTACCTGCTGTTAGAATAGTGTGGGTCTCCCAAAAGTAATTATTGGAATAATTCCTTCTAGTGATATATTGCTCACTACACCTTGAGCAGGGTTGAGAATCTTTCTCTAATTCTTGAACAGAGAAATTAATGTTGAGGTCCAATATCTCTGTATATCTGCTTTTTTGCATTTTAAATCTGGCATTAATACTTCAAAAAGGAAATGGTTACATTAAATGTCTTGCTATTGCCTTCTAGGAATAGGATGTTTTTATTTTCTTGAGATAAGGTTGATATTATTGCAATAAAGTAGCAAAGTTTTTTTTAATAACAGCTGTTGTATAGGCAAGTCCTGTGCAATACTATAACCAGTTAAATAGCTCCATTTTTCCATTGAAGTAATGTTCATTTTTAGATTGGCTGCATTACATCAAATCCAATCCATTTCATTGTCTGTCACATGACAATGACAATGACACTGCACCAGCCTCAAATGGAGTTTTGAATAGGTGATTGTGGAGCAGAGTGGAATCTATGTACTGTTACTACTGTTTGTTTATAAGGAAAGTGTTTCTCCATTTGGGTCACATGGAAATCTTAGTGGGAATGTCCACCTACAGTGACACCATAACTGACAAAATGCAGCATTAACCGTTTTAACATTGACTGACAATGTCAGTCTGACCAGAGTTTGGCTGGTGACTGTTATGTTTGATCTAGTGTGCCCCAAGAATCCAGTGTGCAGTGCTTTTTCTGCCATTGCCCTTGTACTTGCTAATTTAGAGCTTGGAAAAATTTACTTGAAACCTGTGAGCCAGAGTGAACAATACATACGCTGCCTTGCTCCTGTAGCTGTGGCCTCCAAAGCCACAAACCCTGATGTGTATATTACAACTTGTTAAATATATGTTGCAAATTAAATGTAACTGCCCTTGCTTTTGTCATACTTTGACATCATTCCAAGCTTTTTTCCTTGTTGTTCCTTTTATTGTTTGTCATTTTTGCTCTTCCTGATCTTTTCCTATATTGTGTTCTCCCTTCCCCATATTTTCTCCCTTCTTCTGTCACATCTTTCTCTTTCCTTGTATATACATGCACCACAGTACTCTTCCACTCATCCAGACAATACATTTGTCCCTATCCCTAAACACCTGGATTGTAATTTTGCTGGACACCAGTCTGGAGGACTAAAGCCTAGTTATATCCTGGTGACAATGAGGTTGGGGAGGAAAAGAGCTACTGTCCAGGAACAGTGCTCAAGTGAAACTAAATTCCAGCACTACTTCTCCTCTCTTCCTCTCCCCCCCCGCCCAGCAGGAGTTCAATAAATCTACTACACCCCCCTCTCTGGCCAAACCTGTTTGGGTTGCTGGAAAGGAACATTCTTCTGAGGCTTTTTCCTCTGCACTCCCATCCCCTCCAGAGCGGTGTTTCACTGTGAAAGTGAGATATCCTATCTCCTAGAACTGGAAGGGACCTTGAAAGGTCATCGAGTCCAGCCCCCTGCCTTCACTAGCAGGACCAAGTACTGATTTTGCCCCAGATGGCCCACTCAAGGATTGAACTCAACCCTGGGTTTAGCAGGCCAATGCTCAAACCACTGAGCTATCCCTCCCCCCCAGTGGGTAGGGTCCGTCCTACTCTACCCCTTCCTCAAGCTCTTTGCTTATGTAGTGGAGGCATTATCTCTATCTTACCTGTTTCCTCAGTTTTTTAGCTCCCGGGGCAGGTCAGCCCCCACTTTGCTTCTTGTCAAGTTTCTGCTTGACTACTCCCCCAGTGTCTGCCTCTGCTCAGCTTTGCTGAGCTACAGCAGTATGAAATTGACCTGATACTTGTCAGTTTAACTGTTTCCCAAAGAGTTCTGAATAGGAATTCCAAAGGTGGTCAGCCTTAGCTTTCCCAAGGCAGCAGAGTGAAACTAGGAGCAACATGAGGGGTATTGGAACTATTCTCTGCAGACACAGGAAAATAGCATTGCATTGTCTTACATTTAGTTATAATTTGGAAGGTTATCTAGAACTATAAGAATTAGAAATATAATTCTTTTAAATTCTGTAGAAGTTGATGGCACTTGCCAGGAAAGCTTCCTACTTGTTATGGATGAGTGGATTTTTCAAGGTCTATGTTAATATTCTTTGAGGGGGGAGTTCAATGGCAGGGAGGAAAGAAAGGAGTTAAAAAAAAAAATCTTTTATGCTAATTGGTAACTGATACATTAAAGCATAATTCTTTTCAGTAAGCAGGCATTTAAGATTTGATTTGGCAAATGCTGAAAGTGGTTTGTGGGAAACATTTCAAAAGTTATTATAGTGACCTATATATGCAAAGAGATGGCAACTTATTTAAATATGTTGTGCATTTGCTTACTTGGCAGCATGGCTGTGTTGTAAAATAGAAATTCAGTCCGATGGAGAATATGTTCGAGGGTTGGCTGGGATTAAATATTTTTGTCTTGTGGGTATACTAAGGCCCGTATAGCTCCAGTTTATTAGATTCCTTCTCTTGAAAAGAAAAGGAGGATAGTAATTGCTAGGTTCCATTATATGCAAATGTCGTCTTGCATAATATTGCATACTGGGTTAAACCTGTTTAAAGGATATCTTCATAAACAAGAAACTAACTGCTTTAGGTACTTGGATTATACCCTTATTTTCCAAAATTTCTTCAGGAATTATCTTGTGCCAGAACAAATAATTATCTGGTTTTTAAGATTATTTCAATGTTGATAGTCAGGATTTACAAAACTTACTGGACCCCTACCGGCCAGAGGCTGATGTGGAAGCTCATGGTGGAGGAGAGCCAGTAAGGTGCTGGTAAAAATCTGTTTATACTAGTACTTTTGAAGGAGAGCGTGCTGGGGTTCTTCTGAGATGCTGTTCCTGAACCTTGCTCAGGAGTCTTTCTGTCACTGACTAGTAAGTGTCTGATAGGTAGTTGAAAATAAACTTTCCTACCCACACAGCTGTCCTTTTGGCTTCTGGAAAGAAGCAGTTATCTTCTCCCATATATCCCAGAACCACCTGACTTCTTCAAGGATGGGGAGTTTTCACTGCTTTGCTATGTGGGGGGAGTCCTCCTTTGGCTGTTCTAATAATCTCTGCTATTCTATCCCTCCATCTCATCTAAGTAATCACATGGGACACATCACTGTAGTATCAGAGTGCTTCAAAAGTATTTAGAAATTAAAAATAGGAATGTAGCTGTCATAGTTGAGGGAGAGGCAATCTCTTGAGTAACTAAGGCCAGTCCTGTGAGGAGGAACTAAGACGACAGGGACCTTGAACTGCTTTTTGTATTTAATGGAGTGCCATTGCAGAGAGTGAAGCACCAGGGTTGCATGTTGTTAATGACCAGATTGCTGTGTCCTGTACCATGGAACTTTTTCAAGGTGTATATGGCTTCATTTCTAGAAATGAGTTGAAATCAAACTTGGAGGTCACAAGTGCATGGATCACCATGGCCAGTTCTGCATTCAATAGGATGGAGTACAGTCTTCTGGCCAGATGTAGATGGAAGTGGACTTCTTTTGTCAAAATGGATTTAGGGTATTGAATACATTGAGGAATCCAAAAAGATCCAAGGCTGCAGACAGACTTAATCAGAGGGCAGATGCCCTCAATAGCTGGAGATATCATAGAGAAGGCAATTTCTTCAAAGTGCTTCCCTCTTTTCCAAGAAGCAGCAGGGTGAAATTTAAGAATTCTTTCTGGTTTCATTGCTGTCTATAGGGTTCTGATTTTAGCAGATTTGAAACGGATAGCCTTATCAGTTTCTGCTCGGGAAAACTATTAACAGCAGAGGCATTGGAATAATCTGCCCACAGACTCTCAAACTCAAATAACTTCATTGGTTGGTATTTGAAAGGATTTCTTTACCACAGTGGCTAAAACCTTTTTAATATTAAGGTTTAGATACTGCAGAAATGAATAGCACAATGGTGAGCTGACCCCTTCCACATTTACCACAGCCAGTAGCAAAAGTGAATTTTTCAAGTCATTCCAATGTGAAAATAACTCTGAAAAGTTGAGTGGAACATTTTAAGTTAAGCATAGATTTCTTTAGTATATGTCCCCACTAACATGGCAGTGGGGAGAGAAGGGATGTCTCAACAGTTTTAATTGGTCTCCTATAAAATTATTTCCCCTTTGTGAAGTCGTCCTTGTTCCCTGAAGATATCACTAAGTGTATTGCAGATGCCATGGATTATTTGGCTTGCAACAAGGACCATTTGATCTTAAAACTGTTGCAGAAAGTAGTTGACCATACCAGTTTCTTATTACACTACCTATCTAGTCTTCTTGACCTCAGGCCTCTTGGAGACCTCAGAGTGGGGGAGCCTGGCAGCTTTCCTTGTATGTTAGTGACAAGGTTTGAGACAAATCCTGACTTAGGGTAAAAAATTCTTCTTAAGCATGTGATGATCTTAGCATTTCTGGTCCCTTTTCTGAGCCAGTCCCATAATGATCTCCATCCCACAAACCAAATGGGTAACTGGGTAATTCCCAGTTGTAATTAATCCTCCCCCCATCCTACCTATATCTCTTGGGGAATATCTGCACAGCAAAAAAACAAAACAAAAAAAGCCCTGTGGCTAGCCTGTGCCAGCTGGCTCTGGCTGCAGGGCTGTTTCCTTGTTGTGTAGGCTTCTGGGCTTGGGCTGGAGCCTGGGCTCTAGGATCCTGCGGGATGGGATCGTCCCGTAGCCCAGAAGTCTACACAGCAATGAAACAGCCTGAGCTGGCTGGCACAGACTAGCCACATATTTTTCTTTGCTGTGTAGATGTATCCTTGGTATCAAACTTGTAACATTCCTTTCCCCCATAGCCTCTCTTATACCAGACCCAAAGCAGTCCCTGACTCCATGTTGGACACCTGGGGAGTGGTGGTGTATATAAAAAATTATTTCCCCCCAATCTGATTTGGATATAACCATGCTGATATTCTAACAATAGAACCTCAGTTATGAACACCAAAGTTATGAACTAACCCCTCAACCATGCAAATAAAAAGCAAGTACAGTACTGTGTTAAACATAATCTACTAAAAAAAAAGGGGGGGTGGGAGAAGCAGCAGGTGAGCAAACCCCACTTGTTGTTGAAATGAAAACTTTCCTGAGCATTGAGGAATCAAACAATAAACATTTTGGTAATATGTGGGTGCTAAGTGAAATGGATCATGAATTGACAAGTAGTTTCCTTGACCAAACTGAATGAAATGTAAAATAACACTTTTTTAAATATTAAGTTGGTCTATGCTAGAAAATCTTTGTGTGATGTGAAAACCTTGTCTATCAGTAATTCCTAAAATGTTTTCTCATTTCAGGTGCGTGTGGTTCTTAAATACCGACACTGTGATGGGAATCTGTGTATCAAAGTAACAGATGATGTAGTTGTAAGTAAAGAATGTTGACTGTAGAGCTTGATTCTACAAGCTTGCATTTTAAGACAGTCTATCATTTAATTTGATGAGAGTAAAAATTGCTATTGAGAACTTCATATACAGATGGTTCTGTAAGCTAACTTTCTCAAACCACCAAGCTTCTTGTACTCAGAGTGTGTGTTTGAGAGCCTCTGATGCTAGCTTGGTACCCCATTCTGCACCCATTGAGTCTGAGACAAAGTTCCTAATGATTTCAAAGGGCATAAGATTGGGCCCTTATTTAACTTTAAGGGAACTTACTGGGTTTCTTTTGAGGGATATAACTGAAAATGCTGCTGTTCTTATTTTGCTTGTATAAAAGTCTTGCAGTTAAAGGTAACTCCTTTCTTTTTTTTTCTCATTACCACACAAACTAAAGAACCTCTACCAGAGAGAGGGGAAATGAATAAGGTTAGGTCTACACTAGAAAAGGTTTGCTGGTATAGCTATTCTGGCAAACCCTCATACAGCTTAAACCACCATAAAAGGGCTTTTGGCAGTATAACTTACACTGGTTTGTGTAAAATAAGCTTTACTGGCAAAAGCGCTTTTATGGTATTATAACTCCATCTGCACTAGGGCTTTTGCCAGCATAGAAATGTTGTCCACCCCTCCAAAAAAAAAGACCCCACACCCCTTCCGGATGTTATATTGGCAAAAATTTCTAGTATTGAACTGTCCTGAAAGTCTAAAACTTTTAAATATTTAATGTACACGTTTGTTTGTTTGTTTGTTTGGCATAAAATGTAAATAAGGTAGACTTTCAGAGGAGTATGTTTTATAATACAATAAAAAACCTCACAGAAGTGAGGAAAAGACAAACTTCAAACAGCAAACAAACACAAAATTCTAGACATGGAGCCTCTCACCCAGCCCCACCCCCAGAAGCTTGGAGAAATTATCCAGGTATCTGGCTACTCCACTTTTCATAGGGGTCTCCATGAATGCAGTATTGCCAACTCTCATAATTTTATCATGACTCTTGTGATTTCTTTGGGTGTTTAACTTGTCTGAAAACATAATGAAAGGCTGCCAACTCACAAAATTTCCCTTACTCAAAGTGGCCCCATCTCCTGCTACTGTCAATGGGGCTGAAGCTAGCAAGATAGACAGTAGGGAAATGGCAGCCCATCTGCATGTGGAAAAGCTGCCGTTAATAAAGCTGGCTGCCATTTCCCACTGTTTTCAGTTAAACTACAGCTATGCCTACAGGTAAAATGGCTGTCACTCTGGTTTAGGGGCTAGACAGGACACAGGGATTGAGGAGCAGCAGACACACTAAAAGGTGGATGGAAAGATTGAGGGGCAGTAGGAGCTGGACTCAAGAGTTGCAGGGGATATTACGGAGGTCTGGAGCAATGGGAGGCAGGGGAGAAGTTGGGGGTAGGAAGTGTTGTCCAGTCTTAGGCTGTTCTCTAAGGAGGGGTCAATAGTTCTTTCAAATTTAAGCCTACTTCTGTTACCCGAATGTCCTGAATAACCCCAATATATCAGACTGAATTCAAAAGTTGATGTTAACCTGCATCTTTTGTGACCATACCATATGACCAGCTATATGTTCAGTGGCATCTCTTGGGAGTATTTCTCACATTTTTGTAACCTTTCCTCCCCTGAATTAGAATACAGCAGGGTTTTTTTAAAAGGCTGTAGTATTTAGTGTCTCCTCTAGCTGACTTCTGTCCAAACACACTGGAGGGATGTTTAGGAAAGGAAGGGTAGGAGCAAGAGGAAAGGGCAACACACAGAACAATAAAGAAGGGAGAACAGGACATGTGTAACAGTCCAATAGTACATATTGCTAGTAGTTTACCTTTTAAGATACTGTTTCTTCAGGGATGAGGCAAACTAAATCCACTTAGTCTGTGCAGATTCTTCCTAGAAGAGTTGGTCCATGTCAGAGTCCAGACTGTGGAGGAGAAATAGTCAGGCATTTGTAGATGGCTAATTACAGTACAAGGGATGGGCTCTGAAGGCCAGAGGGATGTTGAATTAGGGGCATTGTTAATTGAAAAGACAGATTTGTTAGGAGAAATCCCACAAAATAGGAAATTTGGGGTAAGTGGAATCCTGAGCTTACATGCATTTAAAACAGCCCCTTTTTACGCTCATCTGCTTGTGTAACCAAGTCAGTGTAGTCAACTTTACTGACAAAGGCAAGTTTTACTGCTGTTGGCTCTGCAGAGGCAGTATACCTGTGGAAAGACTGAACTAGGTTCTGTACTGCATGCCTCAGTTTAAAGAAGTTTTAATGTGAACTTAATGTGGGTAAAGCTGCTGTATTGACAGCCCTGGAGACTGAAGCTTTCTATTTTTATTCCTTTGCTAAATCAATCTGGACAGCTGGGTTGTTGCTGTATTCATGCTATACAGGCAGAGGGAACTAATCATTCTTGACAGAAATGTTGGCTGTATTCCAAGTCACCTGCTGTTTCAGCTGGTATCCCCAAATCCATGAGCTGCCTCTTAGGCAAACAAAAGCATTTGTGGCCTCCAGCTGCAGTAAATTTAAAATTCCAGTTTGCCATGTATCAGTACTAGTGTCTAGTATGTAATCATGATGATCAGACAGTGGCATCCTACTTCTGTCCTTAATGTGCAATGGGGAGGGAAAACCTCACATGAAGAGAACTTCTCCTTATCTTAATCAACAAAGTGGTTCTCTGATCCTTCAAGACTTATCAGGAGGTATTTCCCTATAGAGCATAGAGACAATGCACTAACTCCAAAGACACAAAATCTTAACTTTTATTCACTTCTAAGCAATGCTTAATCTAGCACTGCTAGTGACAAAATAAGTATATCCCTAAAAGTATGAAGATCTAAGCTGGGGAAACCCAAGGAAAGAATAATTTCAGGTTCAAAAAATCTGCTTTGGTGATTACAGAATACAACAGGGAAGAATCTGTTTCATGTGTTAACACAATAATTTCTTCCATCACAGGGCAGCTTTTGGCCTGCTGCTGAGATTTTTTTGTTTGTTTTTTATTGAGAACTCCTCTCATTATGAAAAGAGACCTTAGCCTTTGCAGGAAAATTTAGGCAAAAGAGAATCCATATAAACCCCCTTTAGTTTTAAAATACACCATTTCTCTGTATCAAACCTCAGTCTTTTGTATCCTGCTTAAATTTTTCATTGAACAATTAGACTGTAGTTCAAGGGTTTTTGTGCTAACCAACTGGTCTGTGCTTCTTTGTAGAAGATACTTGAAAGCACAGTAGTGCTTGTATAATCATAAGACAAGTTACTGAGGGAAGAAAGCTCGTTAAACTTTATCTGACCGCTAGAATATTCACACTTCAAATAGAATGTAAACCTGTATAGTACATTGCTAAAGGGGAAAGACAAAACTATTAATCTGAGTTTTGAGTGGATGTAAACTACAACCGTTTAACATTTCCAGAATCAAAGGGGTAGCCGTGTTAGTCTGCATCTGTAAAAGAAGCAAAGAGTCCTGTGGCACCTTATAGACTAACAGACGTATTGGAGCATGAGCTTTCGTGGGTGAATGCCCACTTCTTCGGATGCATGCACCACCCACGAAAGCTCATGCTCCAATACGTCTGTTAGTCTATAAGGTGCCACAGGACTCTTTTTGCTTTTATTATCCAGAATGTTACACATGGTGCTCTAAGGAATGTCAATATTAAAAATGTTTAGTAGGCATATATTTAATTTATTCCAGATTGTTTTCTTTTAGTGTTACACGGATTATATCTTTAGAATTTTATCTGTATACAACATTGAATACAATGTACTGTATTCAATGCTAGCCTTATGGCACCCAAGATTTTGCAAGTTACAATGAGGCTTTATAACAGTGGAGTTCTAAGTGCAAACTGTATGCTCGGTAACTTTCCAAACAGAAAGCAGTCCCTGGCATTAAGAGTTTGCAGTGTTAACACAGACACATTATATGGGGGACCCAAAGGGAAATTGATTGATTTTATTTTATATATAATATAAAAAAATTGAGTAAATTGTTGTAATAAGAGTTGGAAGTTTAAGGGTAGCTTTATATTGCCTCTTCAAGTGTGGGACACAGTACAGATGGCACTGATCAGAGTCCTTGAAGTCTTTCACTTTGTAGTGTAAGCTTTCTGGTGTCAGAAATATGTGAAATTAATATTGAAACTATAAATCACAGATTTAAATAGCTTGAAATAAAACCTGACATTCAGTAACTTTCTTTTGACAGTGTCTGCTATATAGAACAGACCAGGCTCAAGATGTAAAGAAGATTGAGAAATTCCACAGTCAGCTAATGCGACTCATGGTAGCTAAGGAATCCCGCAGTGCTGCCATGGAAACAGACTGAATTGCTGAAAATAAAATGAAAGCTCCAGTCATATTTCATGGGAAGAAAATATCACTTGGATTTGAGCAAACATTGGGACAGGAGACGTTTTATGTAACGAAGTGGACTATGAAAAGTCTGAAGCATTTTTTCCCCTGCCCTAGACGCCACTTCAGATAACTAGGAAAATAAATGCTTTCAGTTGAAAGCCTCTATTTATTTTTGAAAATTAAGCAAGAAAAATATATCCTCCATGGAAAACATTCTTACAAGTCTTGCTTAACATACTTTAACCTGTAAATATTTTCTTTTGTAAATCTATAGTACTCTAATTTGAAAGTGAAAGGAAACAAGTGTATCCCTCTGGAAATTGAGAGCATGTCTTCATGTAGATTAAATTGATCTTATTTGCATTCATATACCTGTGCTGGTGTATTTTCACAAATGAAAAAATATATATTAATCTGACCAACTAATACTATAACACTAAAACTGGATCTAATAACCCTATTCATCTAATGACATGTTATAACAGAATTTAGAAATAGAACAGACATCTTTTAAATTAAAATTGCCAAAAATTGTGTGTAATACTGTGCAACTGGCAAGTTATTCTGTAAAAGGTTTCTAGCTTTTAATATTATGGCCACAAGCTGTATAACACTTCTAAAAGCCTGTGCATAATAGTTCCACAGAACACGTTCTAGATTGCTGGTTCAAATACAAAGTTGTCATTGATCAGGTCATCACCATCTGAAAACTGTTCAGTAGCCTATGTGAAGTTGGAAGGTCCCAATCCAGTTATCAGGCAGTGTTCATATAAAAAGAATCAAGGTCATATTTAGAAGTAATTGGCAGAGAGGCTGAACTTCCCTCTGGCTGGTAGAGGTTTGACTTCCAGGGCAGAGTTGAGGCATGCTAGAAAGGGCACTGTGGAAGCTTGCACATGTAATGCCCAGGGTGTGACCTGTTCTGTGGATAAATTATTTCAGTGTCCAAGTCTTAGTAACTCGCCAATGTTACATTCACTTTAATTATAAAAAAAAAAAAGTAGACTGTAACAACTTGCATTCACAAATGCTAACATGTTTACCAAACTTGTACCTTAAACATCAAAGCAAAAGAATGTAGTCCAGTGGTTCTCAAACTTTTGTACTGGTGACCCCTTTCACATAGCAAGCCTCTGAGTGCGACACCCCCCCCCCCCAAATTAAAAACACTTTTAAATATATTTAACACCATTATAAATGCTGGAGGCAAAGCAGGGTTTGGGGTGGAGGCTGACAGCTCGCGACCCCCTGAGGGGTCCCGACCCACAGTTTGAGAACCCCTGATGTAGTCAGTCTTGACACGCATGTGGCTTAGGAAGCAATGCTTCTTATTGCTACCTTTGTTTAATGGTAGAGGACTCTGTTTACTCTTCTCTTGAAGGATTCCTGCTTGAAGACGCAAATGTTGGAGTTGGACACTTGCTTTGAATAATACTGTGTACTGTTGTGAACTGAACTCCATTTTGTTAAATGCCAAGCTGACTTCCTGTATGTAACCATGCTACTGCTGTAACTGAGTTTTCTCCTGCGCTAATATTTTGGCCAACTCCAAACCTTTAAAAGAAAAGAGCCTCGCAAACTGAGTGTAAATGCTGTACTTAAATACTAGTTACCTGCTGTATTTTTTTTAATAGAAACAATTGGGTTCTCAAACTTAACTGGTAATGCTGCTACTTAGAAGAAATGGAATTCCCAGTTTTTTGCCGAAGGTTTCATAAATACCCACAAAATTAGTTTATTCCATTAAATTATTCTTTCAGTAGAATATATGTTGCATATTATTGGAAGATATTTTAGCATGGTGAACTGTCGTTTGCCATGTTGAGTTCTGGCCTGTAAGGTTTGACGTCAGCAAAATACATTCAAACCAAGACAAAGGTTCTAATGAAGTCTTATTGCTTAGATATTTTGTCATGTCAACAAGACTTTGTGAATTTGTTTTTGTGTTGTCTTCTTCCCCC